GGCAGTGAATCTTATTGCTATTTTCATTATTGGTTTTTATTTAATGTAAATGTATAATACAGTTTGAAAAGATTGTGGCGATGGCTTCAGATCGTCTTGTTTTATCCATCCAACAATCCAAAACCAAATGATTATAAAGCTGGGAATCCAAAACCTCACATTAAAGAAGCTGGATTCTAAAATAGTTTTAATTTTTTGCTTTATTTATTCCATAAATTATTACTAAATTATTCATATAGACAACTAAAAATAGCTTGCTAAAATCTGTAGCCGAAATGCTCATGCACCAGTGCACAACCTTTCAAGGAAACACGCTGTGCTGCAGGAATATTCTCACATGCAGACTGATAAAACCCTCTTTCTGTTTGCCAGTAGCAGCAAACCGCCTGTTTTGGAAATGGTGGCAGGAGTCCAGGCTTCAGTCAGCTGGCTCTCTGTTCCAACACACTCCAGGATCAACAATCTCTCCTGCTCTCTCTCTCTCTCTCTCTCTCTCTCCATCCATCTACAACCTCTTTCAGACGAGCATCACAACCAGTAAATTCGCTGTTTGACATTTCCCCCTGTTTAAAAGCACTACAAGTTATCACTAAGGAAGAATCGCACAGAGCATGAGAGAACGAAATGGTTTTATGGGTAACGAATGGTGTAAAAATTCTGTCACTGGCATGTTGCACTAAGCGGTCTTTCAACACATACATTAGAAATAACTTCATGCTCTAGCTGGTCGTGTGTGGAAGTTGCAAAAGGTCATGTGAGCACTGCGGCACCGTCTGAAATGGTTCCACTACGTTTGAGCTAAATATCTGATCCTTTCTTTGCTCTGGTGCTTTGTCCACCACTCTTCTACAACTGCTGGGCTCTCAAGCATTTTGCTGCACATGCAAGTGAAATATGTGAACGTTAAAAATTGCCTTGGTGGATTTGCTAAACATTCTGGCCTGAAATAAGCTTATCTGCTGTCTGGCCTGTGTGTTCTCTGCAGACTGGTGACTGTTAGGCCAAAAATCATTTGTGAGGGAAGAAGCTCCACTCACTGTACACTCAGGATGGACCGTGTTTCTCTTCTCTTCTTTATAGCTCAGCTCTGACAGAGTTATATCTCTTGTCTGTCTGATTCTTTCGCATTTATTTTGCTTTCCCACAGTCAATCTTATTCATGTCATACCAGCAATTATGTGATAGTTTTGAACTAAAACCTTCAGTACTTGTATGAACTAGCTCACGTAAAACAAACTGCTATTTCAATACAAATACAAAATAATTAAATATGATGATATCTCTTCTTCAAAGCTTTGAGGAACTTTGATTTTCCAGGAAGTAAAGTACAGTAGCTTTTCCAGGTGTGTAAGTATCTCCAGGCCGATGTGGTTGTTGTTCCACAGCGGCAGGTTAGACGAGCAAATTAGAGCGCTGATGTCGCAAAAGCACCACAGTTGCTACTCGGCGGTTATGACATTTAATGTTGACCAAATAAATGCCTGTCATAAAATCTTATGGGCTGCTCCATCCTGGTTCTCTACCACAAGCTAAAAGCTAAACAAGTTGTGGGTTTAAAAAAAATGCAGAGCGTGGGATGCCCTTGTGGCCTAATGGTTAAGGTATATACCACGCAACCCTCAATGGTTGGAGTCCCAGCAGGGAACCATTGCTGCATATCATCCCCTCTATATGACTGTTACTAATTAAACACTAAATGCCGTTTGATCATAAACATGCAACAGAGATCTATGTTTGAGCACAAATAATATCAGAAAGCTGATATAATTCATGGTCCTTGTTTGTTAACACATTTATCATACCAGTCATGACTTGCCTTCTTCACCATGACCAATTTATACATTAACAAAATACGAATAAGTCTCACGCCTCAGTTCCGGTCCTGTGGTGTGACCAGTTCTCTGACATCCAGCTCCACAAAGGAGCCTTTCATATTTGTACAGCCGTTAATTATTAAAACAAATTTCATAGCTGTGTCTTTGTTTGTCCTTTAACGTTCCACTTAATCGCTGAGGCTGAGACTTCATATTGACACTTTACCAACACATTCTTGCTTAATGTTTCTAATGCAGCCCACACAACATAAAGTATTGACTAATAATTCCTGCTCTCCTGCTTCCATTTCTTGCTATTTATGATATTTACAAATATCTCAAGTAAATAATTAATAATACATTGTTACAAACATTAGAATAAGCTGTGTAATTAACAATGGCAAGGTATGTTTTAAACCATTTAATCTAAATCTCAAGACACTGATAAGTAATCTCACGTCCCTCTAAGGTGGAAGTGTTTTTACTTGTTTTTTTATCAGCTGACGGCTGCTATGTGTTTTTTTTAATCACATCTGTGTGTGTGTGTGTGTGTGTGT